CTCCGGGACGGCGGGTGTCCTTGGGAAGGTGCAGGCCTCCCCGCCGCCTCGGCCTGGGGCGACGGGGGCAGCCGTGCCAGGGGGACGGCGTCCCGGGGCGGCCGGAGGGCCCGGTGCGTGCTGAGGTGCGGGGGAGCGGGTGCTGGGCTGGGAAGGCGAAGGCCAGACCACCTCGCCCGCCATCCCAGCGCAGCTGAGGCAAATAACCCCTTCTGTGAACAGCCGAGCCAGCCCGGGCTAGTTTCGAACACAATTGTGTCTCCAAACATCAAACAGCAGGGTTCCAACCGGGTTCCTATTTCAAAATACCACGTTAGGCTTAAAATTACTGCTTAAAACCAGCACAGTATGACGACTGACGTTTTGTTTTCTTTGGGTTCTCTTCAGAGTTGTTGTCTTCCCCAGCTTTCGGTCAGAATCACATGATTCAGAAATTTAGAAGAGAAATGAACAACTTGGGGTTTTTTTGAACGAGGAATCTAGTGAAGCCTTTTTTCCTCCCCTGTATATTTGCATTCTTTGGAGCTGTGTGCGTTGGTGGTGGTCAGCAGTAGGCACGTCCCTCCCAGGCAGCTGGCTGCTGCGCAGTGAGTTGGAACAGGGCGGGGATCCACCTCGTTTCACTCCGTGGCACTTCCTTCATCCGGCGCTCTATTAAATGTAAGGGATGGGAATTATCTTTGAAACCTCTGCGTCTTGCTCGTAGTTGGTTGAAATTGGGTGGTGAGTTCTAGAGATGGTAAAGGAAGGAGCAGATGGGCAAACAAACGTGATCGCAGAGGCTGGGCTTCCTTCAGAAACTGGGCAGTAAATGCCGGAAGGAGAATCCGTATCGACTTCCCCCATTCGCGATGGTCACCTGGCATTGCTGTCCGCATCTCCCCGAGTGTTCCCCGGGAGCTGTGCTGAGGCTGCCGTTCAAACCTTGGCTTCCCTCGCCTTCGGCCACCAGTAGGCTTTGCAACATGGCCCACGGATAGCTTGCTTTGGGGTTTGACTGACTGCCCCCAGGCAGGGGGAGCTCGGTGCCGAGACTCCAGGGACTACGTTGCAAATGCCCTTGGGTAGGAATAAAAATTTCCATACGCGCGACCTTACACGCAACCTTCTCCTTGCAGCAGGAACGCTCCCACGTTACATTAACTGCCCACGTCCTCCATATGCTCATTTGCTAAAATAAATACTCCGTGGCAAACGC